CGCGATATGGTTCATGGGGTCACAAAGAGTCGGACACAACTTAACGACTGAACAACAACAATCACTCTTGCGGTTTGCAAGAAGAACACTTCCATGCACAGTAGGTGTTGGAGTGGACTTTGGCTTTGTATGGCCAGATATGCTCAGACCCTAAGCCTATGTGATTGCAGCACAACATAGCTATTTTCAGTCTTCAAATGCTCAGACACAGTTCTGAGTCAAAGTTTAGTCCTTATTAACAGCCAACTCAAAATGCAGAGCCCATCACATGATGAATCCCTGCATTCTCCAGGTGAACAACAGATGAACACAACGATACAGGTAGTTCCCAGGTTAAGAACACCTGGTTTACAGATGACCCATAATGAAGAACAGAGCCTATTGTAGCAAAGTTCACTTTAAATACACAATGATTCGAGTTAAATACACAATGGTTCGAGTTCATTACATAATACTACTTATACAGTATTACACAATAATACTGTTCTAGCTTATATACAAGTTTGACTTAAGGACAGACCTTGGGAACGGACCTTGTTCTTAAACTGGGAACTACTTGTAATGATAATAATAACAATTTATTAAATTTATATGCCACTCAACTCCCAGCAAATGCTACCCAACTAGTGACTTCTCCACACCATCAATCCATGGTCTGTTTTGTTTAAAACATCAAAATACCTGGAGTTGGAAGCTTCCCTATTCCTCTGCTCAATTTATTGAAGTAGCAGAGAAATTCATGGCATTAAGCTACAGCCACTCAACCTCTTCTGGAAGAGGTTGACATTCTCAGTGTGTCTGCTGAAAACTTGGAATTAATCTGCTTCAGCCAAAAGTAAATTGGTTTAGCCAAAATCATATTGGTGGATCATGTGTGTGTGGAAGTAATCCACGAGTGATCCAAAACCACACATTGTTACTATGGATGTTATCCTGAGGACCCAATGTACTTTGATTGCCATCTTGTTGGACTATGACTTGGAAGACCAATATTTACTCTGGTTAGCTGGTTGCAGTTGATTATATATGCCCTGGTCAAATAAAGAATGGTTGGTCTCCTGGATGCCAATCTGCCTGGAAAAATAGAACATCCTGTTGCTTTCTTTAAAAAAAAATTCAATAGGGATAAATATATAATATCCATGGTGACCTCACAATAGTTGTACCTCTGCAGACTTAGAAGGAATTAGCCCTCTTGTCCTATTTGACCATCAGTCCCATCTTGTCATGTGGCTGGGAATAGGGGGGAGGCAGGAGTATGTATACATAATGGGCAGATATTTCCTGGAGAAGCTCCATTTTTGAAGGATTATTTTAAGATTAGGACATAATTCCTTTTCAGCAGGAGGAAGAGAAAGTCATCCCTTACTAACTTACTTCTCTATCTCTTCCTCTAGTTGGCCTGGCAGACTAGAACTGTTTTGGCCTAAAACTAACTCCTCTAATCCTGCTGCTGACTAAATTGTGAAGTTTATGCAATGCACAAATGCCACCCAGAACTTAATTAAGCACATTGGGCAAACACAGGCTATATTATATATGATGTCTGGGGCCAATTCCAGCTCAATTCTTTCTCATTGTAAAGTGTCCAATAGCAAGTCAACTCTACAGAAGCTTGTGTGCAACTGCCTGGTGCCAGGTCAGACCAGAGGTCCATTTTGAACAATCCTGTTCATTGCACTGCCTGGTGTGGCTCTCCTGAGTTTCCCGCACAAATATCTTCCTTGGAAATGAATGAGATTGCACCTGAGACCTTCTCTAGGCAAAACAACGGCTCTGTATATTACAACCCCCAAGAAGATTTGAACTCACAGCGTCTGTGTTGGAACTTTTTTGCTACAAGACCTATATTTTTTAATGAGAGTCATCTAGCATATGAATTTTATAGAAATTATTGTGGCCCAAAGACTATGGCAATGTATATCTTCCTTCCTTCCTTCCTTCCTTCCTACACCTGGTTT